AAAAAAAAAAAGTGTTACTTTAGTCTTATGTATATTCATTGTTGTGTAACAGATCTCCAGAACTTTTTCATCTTGCAAACTGCAACTCTATACCTATTAAACTCCCCATTCCCCCTTTCTTCATATCCTTTTTATGAGCAGTGCATGGCATGGGAGTTGGCCAAAAAGCAATGGATGTCTTCAGTGTGCTCTAAATAGCACCACATGTAAGGTAGGTTAGAAGCAGACCAATTGGAGTGGGGTGGCAACCGCCAGGCCCTATTCTCTCTTCACTAGTCTTACTCTCAGAAATCTTTCCTAGTCATTTGTTCTTGGCTCTTAATCCATCAATTCATATTATCCCAAATCCCACTTACCTGAACTTTTCTATACCCCCTCATTTACAAATGCAGATGATTTTTGGTGATGTATGTTGCCATCTTTTTCATCTTTTCATAAATGCCACATATAATGGTGATTTGGGAGTTCCAAATCATACAAAATCAGTCTCCTTTTTGAGTCACATTATTTAGGCACAGTGAAAATACAGTAAAATCTGGAAGGCCATTGTGAGTGCAGGAAATACATCCTTTTACCTTCTTCTGCAATTACCTTTCCATCTTCTCTCCCTTCCCTCAAGGTTTTAGCCTTCCATCAAAAAAATCTCCAAAAATTCTGTGGTATTCACTTATTTGATACATTTCTGAACTTTCAGAGGTCGACTTCCACCTATGGCTGAGGATGTAACATGATTTTGCTTGAAGTTTTAAGATGTGTATGTGTACAAGTAGGCGATGACTTTTATTCTGTTTCCTAATGAACCACTTCCATAATGAGGGAGTATGAACTTAATTGGCTCAGCCTCATGAATTCTTTTCTGCCCCATTACACCGCTGCTGGAGAAGGCCTTTCAAGCCTTCAGGCTCCCACTCGGCTTGTTCAGGCTCCCACTCAGCAACAAGCCCCTTACCATCAACTGCTACTCCTAGAAGCACTAACACCCTCCTGCTTTTCTCTGACATGCCCCTATCCCTCTAAAAGTACAATTAGGAGTAGCTTCTTCTGGTGCAGTGTTTTCTCAATTTTGGTTGCATATTAGCAAAACTTATTATACAATGCCTTAGCCCACTCCCAGAGATTCTGAATTGCCCTGAGGGAGACCTGGCATCCGTTTTGTTTGTTTTTGCCTTCCCAAATGATTTTAATATATGATTAGGTTGAAGAATCATGGCTTGAAGCTAAAGCAGTTATTCCCTCTATTACATTTAGCATATGCTATGGTCTTAGGCTGCATTGTAGTTGACCTATCTTGTGAGTAAAACAGGCCTTTGAGAATTGGCCCAGGAACCAAAGGACCTCTTACTATACTCCTTTTCCTTTACAAGCTTTCGAGGAGGGATTCCTATATTTTGTCAGTCCTATAATGTTTGATTTTCCCAGAGTGAAGGGTTTATTGAAAGATGTAACAGAGAATTTTAATTTGATTTTGGAGTATGTATTTCAAGGTTGTTTTAGGTAGGAAGGAGGCTGTGCTTTTCTCAGGTTAGAGGAAGTGTTCAGGACACCTAACTGCTAGGCAGGAAGAACAACCCCCACAGAAGGGCCTGTATGGGAGAAAAGCCCATTTCCTAGATCTTCCCAGCTCTATACAACTTTTATCTCCTTTCTTCATAATTAAATTTGCTATTACTTTAAATTGCTATTGTTTTGAGATTGTCCATAAAAAGGACAAAGATGTTAAATTTGGGGTAAAGACAGTACTTAGAAGCAGATAACAGTGTTCGGGCAGTGTGGAAAACACCCTTACCCCCAAACCATCACTTGTGCTAATTTTTGCCCTGGATATAGTTAAAGTGACCACCTCCACATGCTCACCTATAAAATAAAGCTTTATAATACCTAATGTGTAGAGAGTGGTTGGATGATTGCTGACAATTATTGGGGTAACTCAAAGAACCCCCCAGTGCCTGGCCCATCCCTCTTTATTGCCATGCCCCAAGCTCTTGAGTATCTCCCTCCTCCAGGTTCTCACTTGGATAACAGCAGCTAGGGTAACCATGGCTGAAGGTCTCACTTGTCCATAGCACATTTCTGCACAAAATGACCTTAGAAATTTGGAATTGAAGGCATTTAGGAAAGAAAAAAAAAAAACCAAAACGGAGAAGCGAAATAATTTGCACTTGATAACCAGGTGAGACTTACAGTGAGAATGTGAATCTTATCTCATTTTTCTTTGTCCACCACTAAGTATATTTATAACCTACATAAATGACTGGACGACTCACAGACTACAAGTGGGTACTAAAAGTCTCTGCACACATTAAGTGTAAGAGAGTAAGGAATTGTAAAACCCCTCTCAACAGTGTTCTTAAACCCACACCAACTTGTCCTCCCCAAACCTCTATTGTAGCTCCTATCCCTAATGATCTCTAAAACAAGCCCCACCCCAACCAAAATGGTCACCTAGACTTTTTCTTTTCTAACACAATGTCAATTACCACCAAGAATTAAGTCCAAAAAATGGCGATAGTCATGGCTATACGTGTACCTCTCTTGCAAAGTACTGTCTTTTTCAATCTATGGAATCCAGACATTTCCCAAGAGTCCGTGGGCCCTCCCAAATAAAAGTAGGCACACATTATTAACCTTTTATTGTGATTTTTCATCCTTAAAATACAAGTTTAAAAAAACATAAAAAATATTTCGTGACTTTAAGTGTTTACAAAGCCAAACACGAAAAACAAAGCGTGGCAGTTGTTGATTCATGTGAGGCAAAAACAGAAAGACACCCCTACAGTCCCAACTTACATTAAATGCTAATAATTCTAGTGAATACATTGGTTATACAACAGAGAAATGACAAAGATAAGCAAATTAATCTAATTTTAGAATAAACTGAAATTCTAAAGAACAGAAATTAGAAAAAAATACAGGGCAATAGCAAGGTCTTAGGTTTCCCCCTGACTCAAAAACAAATATGGAAAGCATAAGATAGGGGGCCTAATCGACCTCCTCAATGGTGGGGCCAGACCCAGAGCCCCCTTTGGGGGCCTGGGCCCCAAAGCCACCAGCCCCGGGGCCACCCGCCCCCTGGTACAGTCCGCTGATGATGGGGTTACACACCTGCTCCAGCTCCTTCCTCTTGTGCTCAAACTCCTCCTTCTCCGCTAGGGTGTTGGCGTCCAGCCAGGAAATCACCTCCTGGCACTTGTCCAGCACCTTCTTCTTGTCCGCCTCGCTGATCTTGCCCTTGAGCCCTTCATCCTCCACAGCGCTCTTCATGTTGAAGGCGTAGGACTCCAAGGCGTTCTTGGCAGACACCTTCTCGCGCTGCACCTCGTCCTCGGCTTTGTACCTCTCGGCCTCCTGCACCATGCGCTCGATCTCCTCCTTGCTCAGGCGGCCCTTGTCGTTGGTGATGGTGATCTTGTTGGCCTTGCCCGTGCTCTTGTCCATGGCCGTGACGTTCAGGATGCCGTTGGCGTCGATGTCAAAGGTCACCTCGATCTGGGGCACGCCCCTGGGGGCCGGGGGGATGCCACTCAGGTCGAAGCGCCCCAGCAGGTTGTTGTCCTTCGTCATGGCCCTCTCGCCCTCGTACACCTGGATCAGCACCCCGGGCTGGTTGTCCGAGTAGGTGGTGAAGATCTGCGTCTGCTTGGTGGGGATGGTGGAGTTGCGCTTGATCAGGGCGGTCATCACGCCCCCGGCCGTCTCCAGCCCCAGCGACAGGGGAGCCACGTCCAGCAGCAGCAGGTCCTGCACGTTCTCAGACTTGTCCCCCATCAGGATGGCCGCCTGCACCGCCGCCCCGTAGGCCACCGCTTCGTCGGGGTTGATGCTCTTGTTGAGGTCGCGCCCGTTGAAGAAGTCCTGCAACAGCTTCTGCACCTTGGGGATGCGGGTGGAGCCCCCCACCAGGACCAGGTCGTGGATCTGGGCCTTGTCCAGCTTGGCGTCACGCAGGGCCTTCTCCACCGGCTCCAGGGTGCCACGGAACAGGTCCGAGCACAGCTCCTCGAACCGGGCCCTGGTGATGGACGTGTAGAAGTCGATGCCCTCGAACAGGGAGTCGATCTCCAGGCTGGCCTGCGTGCTGGACGACAGGGTCCTCTTGGCCCGCTCGCAGGCGGTGCGCAGCCGCCTCACGGCTCGCTTGTTCTGGCTGATGTCCTTCTTGTGCTTCCTCTTGAACTCCTCCACGAAGTGGTTCACCAGCCTGTTGTCAAAGTCCTCCCCTCCCAGGTGGGTGTCCCCCGCCGTGGACTTCACCTCGAAGATGCCGTCGTCGATCGTCAGGATGGACACGTCGAACGTGCCCCCGCCCAGGTCGAAGATGAGCACGTTGCGCTCCCCCTTGCCCGTCCGGTCCAGGCCGTAGGCGATGGCGGCCGCCGTGGGCTCGTTGATGATCCTCAGCACGTTCAGCCCCGCGATCACCCCCGCATCCTTGGTGGCCTGGCGCTGCGAGTCGTTGAAGTAGGCCGGCACGGTGATCACCGCGTTGGTCACCGGGTAGCCCAGGTACGCCTCGGCGATCTCCTTCATCTTGGTCAGCACCATGGACGAGATCTCCTCGGGGTAGAACGCCTTCGTCTCCCCCTTGTAGCTCACCTGCACCTTGGGCTTCTCGCCGTCGTTGATCACCTGGAAAGGCCAGTGCTTCATGTCCGACTGCACCACCGGGTCGCCGAACTTGCGGCCGATCAACCGTTTGGCGTCGAACACGGTGTTCTGCGGGTTCAGCGCCACCTGGTTCTTGGCCGCATCCCCGATCAGCCGCTCGGTGTCGGT